GAAAAAAGCTCTTCTGTTCTATTATCTTTGAAAACAGAGACGAAAAAGGAATAATTTGGCCCGTAGCAGCAATGAATCGATTATCTACGGAGATAATATCACCAGAGATATTCACGGAAATATTAATGTTCGGAGCCGAGATTTAATTACTGTACCCCGCAGGGACGACGTGTGGGGAGGCGTGTGAGAGGCGGAGAGACTATTAAAAGATTAGGCGGTTTTTCTTTCATGTACGTCCGCCATTTTTAGGTCATCGGCTTTGTAAAGCCTGGCTTAATTCGTTGAGAATGCGCTCATACACTGACATTCAGCTTGGTGGACAGGAGACAAAGGCACAATATCCAAGTTGATTTTAGTTCCTATCCTCTCTTTCTTGACAGACTTTTAGAGAGACTTTATTGATTTTAATTCTTTAGGTTATGCTATTTCAGGAATGAATCTTTTCAGTCTAGTTAAAGAGGGTGTCTTACTTGATTGGCATATAAAATAGTATTGTTTTGAATAATCCATTTCTGTGTTTGCCTTAGTTGTAAGAACTATTCACTTGGATATACAGGATTTTGTTTACCCAGTTCAAAACATAAGGGATATGTGTAATAATATCCTTCAGCCTATAAATATATTTCTAGTTCATGGTGGTACTTTAAGTGCAAAACACACCTGTCATGCATGCATGCACTATCCTTGATATTTTTTCTGTAAATGTTGCATTGTAGTTATCTATCTTACTATCATGAGCAGTTTTTTGAAGTTATTCAAGCAAAGGAAATTTTTATTAGCTTTCTGAGTAAATATCTAGACTGTAATAATTATTGTGGTAAAAGGCATATTAGTGAAGAGTTATATCAAGACTCATTGCCCTAATTCCAGATGTATTTACAGTTTATAAGGGTGCATCACCTGAACTGCCCCAGAGTATGTATACAGGTTACACATATAATAAATATCCACTAGTACATTCCAGTGCTTCCAAAATGTGTGGTCTAACATGCTAGATTACAGGCTAGAATCTTATTTCATGGTAGCATCAAGAACATTGTTTCCATGCCCTTGTTTTGTAATGGGATTTTTTAAACATCTGAACAGATGCATGGGCATATTTAACACAAATGTGTCATTTCATTTATGTTTTGACTTTGGAGAACAAGTGAAAAGTTGTTGTTTGCATTTAAGGTTGATAGTGATGGAAAACATGATTATTTTCCCACTAATGATATGCATTAGTATCCAATTTGTAAAACATAAGAAATTGTTGCAGGATCTAATTGCCAATTATCCTCTCCACACACATTCTACTCAACATAGTTTGGGAATAAGTATGACTTTGTTGCCTTGACAAAGTTGTTCACATGTATACATACCACTGGGAATTATAAGTAAATCTGGCAATTTGATAGTTTTTTAGGGTGTTCAATTGAAGTTTTTCCAGGTCACTGGTTTATCCTTGTAATCCAAAGAAATGACTGTTACTGATATATGCTACTTTGATTCATGGTTTACATGAGTAGATTTTAGTTGCTAAAATTGGATTAAAAATAGCACAAGAATTAAGTCTTGCGCATTTTCTTATTACAAAATTAATTGTGAGATCAACAATGTGGAACACTAAAAAAATGTATGATTCATAAAGATTTGATACATCTAATATCAAATTTGTTTCAATATTCTAGATTTATGTTCACCAATGTGCCATGCTTGGGTAATTAAACCATTGGAGAACAAAAGAAAATTGAATTGCTAGATAAACAAAATGTCAGTTTTTGCATTGCAAATTGCTGCATTATCTGCATGTTGTCATGATCAGCACCCAATCTTTCTTCATTCCTAGAGCTGAGTAAACAATTTATGCACTAACACTTGTGTTAGCTAATGTTTGCTAACAGGCATGAATAGGGGCAGTCCTTTGGGGGGGGGGTTTTAAATTTAACCTCCATTAATACATAAATTGTCACAATATCTTGCCATTGTAGATACCATGTACAATGACTTTGTGAACCATCCAAGCATGAAAGAGTTGACCTCTAGGGTGGTCTGGATTCATGTGGATCTGCCTGGACAGGAGGAAAATGCACCAGATCTGCCTGCAGAGTAAGTATGCTGCATGCACATGCACGTGCATATGCAAAAACACACACACAAACGTGCTGGTTTTTGACACATAAAGCTTAAGTCAGCCAACTTTCAAATTTATACAATTTGACATTTATGCCACAGTGTGGCAGACAGTCATTTTCTGTCCACTTTTACATTAACGAGTCTGTCTCTATTATTTGTGACCCTTATGGATATGGAAACAATTATGGTGTCATTTGATAGTGGCTATTGGTCTGCATTATTGTCAAAATATACATATAGCATGCATGTGACAGGTGAACATGCATGAATTCATTGATTTGGAATGATTTTTAATTTAAAATAGTCTAAATATAATGTTTGCTTTATGAGTGATATATAAGGCTGTACTTTCGTTAATCTTATAAAAGTAAATTGACTTGTAAGAGTATTTGGCCTTCACAAACATATGAACTAGCCAAGCTTAGAACTAGCTTGTAGATATTGACAACATATAAAGACAACATCACAAACATCCAAAAATACTACCTGAAAATTGATGGTGTCCTTTCTGTAAAGCAAAATAAGATGAGCTACGCCTCATGTGGCTTTGCATCAAACATGCAGCTGAGAGGTTACATTAAATTATGCATTAGGAAAAATATTCCAAAATTTTGGTAGAAAGTGAGAAATTAATTGCAGCTGTGTGTACAGCTAAGTACTCGAATGCCTATAATTATGTAGAAATATGTTTCCAAATTGGCACAAACTCGTAGTGATGCCATTTTAGTGCATTGTTAGCATAAATAATTGCTTACATATTTATATTTGGATATTTTATCCCCCCTGCATTATATATTTTGCTGTAACATTAATGTATTGTACCTACTCACCATGACAGTGGTGCATTTGATTTAAATAAAACTACCCATATTTATCCAATATATGACTTTAAACCCATGGTTTTGGAACAGCTAAACACCGAAGTTAGAAAATAGTCCAAAGTGATTTATTTGCCTCCATGCTGATTTTTAGGGCAATGTCAGCACACTTTATCTTTTACGTTGAAGTTGTCTTTTTCACCAAAGTAATCTTAATTGAGTTCAGTGCATGGTGCATGTAAGGTTGAAATTAATTGTTTGTTCAAAAAGCCTTGGCCCATCCAATTCACTGACATTGCTAAATTCAAGGTTAATCCATGGGATATCAGACTTGCACAAGGAGTCACAGACACCCAGATACATGTTGTAGAACTAGTTCTTTGCTTTGTCTAACCAAATTTAAGGGTCTGAATAATTTGACAGAGATGAATTGTAATCAAGTGGAATGTGAAATTAAATGCTATCAACACTGTATTTTTTCTACCCTGGTAACTGGTGTGACAAGTGCAAAATGTGTGAAATTTTAGTTTTTAGATAAATATGTATATCTTCAACTTTATTGAACTAATCTAGTTGATGATGGACACCTGGAATGATACATATAAAGAGCACTATTAGATATCTAGCTATCTCCTTCCCCCGGGGGAAGTTTTATACGGGCATGTATAAAACGTCACTTATATGTCAGTCCTCATTCCTCTTTTTTTTAAAGTCCTCTGTCTCCTCCCCTGGGGAGCTTTTAAAGTTTGTGAACATGGGTCCTCCATAGTTCTTTTCAAAAGTCAATTGAATAAGGAAATTGAAGCAACAACAACAACTTTTAAAAGCTATATGCTAAAAGAAAATCAAATTAAATATCTAGCTAAAGTCATTTAAAAAAGAAAAGTCAAGTATTATGAGACTTCAAGAAGAGTCCCTGGTTGAAGCCGGTTTCCGAGTTTCCTGTATGTCAGTCTCTTTAGAATGACGGCTTGGTCTGGATGGAGTAAGCATTTCTGTAGTTCCTGGCTTGTTATGAGGTAGCAAACGGGCTAATGCACGTGGCAAACCACCACTGGTGCGCTGTTTGGTGACAGTAGGGGCATCCTGGCCACTGGGATCTGGGGCACTCAAATCTGGCTCTTCAGATAATTGCGATGGAGTAGAAGCATCCTGGTATGGCACAGTAGGTTCATCTGGATTTTTTGGCTGTGTGACCTGTACAGGGTTGTCATGGGTTTGCTTCTTTCCCAGATAAAGGTCACCAGGTTCGTGATGGACCAACTTAGTGGGTTGCTCAGGCACTGTGTTCTCCTTGAGGGCCATCTCAATCATGGGGAAGTAGTCACTGCTAACAAATGGAGTGAACTTCCTAAGATGCTGCCGGTTGCGGATAGTCACCCTGCCTGAACCATCCACTTTGATGACATACTGGTGGTGCTGTCTTACTTCAATTACTATTCCAGTTCGCTCCCACTTCCGGGGATAATTTCCTACAAGGTTCTGTAAGTACACATGATCTCCAACCCTCAATGGTGGTAAGATCCTAGTATGCTCACTCCAGCGTTCATGCTCTCTGGAATGACGTTTTGCAAGTGCTCTTTCTCGATGTGACATCAGCTCTGCCCATGTTTCGTGTGGGGAATACCTTCCCATGGGTATTGGAATGGCATCGCGAATAGGCCGTCCAAATATAATTAATGCTGGGGAGGCCTTTGTTTGTGGGTCAATAGAATTTCTGTACATAAGCATGGCTTTCTGAAACTTGTCAACATCAAGGGATCCTGTTGGGGCTATATTGTCTGCAAGCATTCGCTTCACAGTTTTGACAGCTATCTCAGCTCTACAGTTAGCATGAGGGTTGGCAACTGACGAAATTCTGTGTTTAACACCCCAGGTTTTAAAAAATTCTTGTGTTTTCCCCGCAGTAAATTGTGGTCCACCATCTGAGGTTAACTCCTCTGGTATTCCAAATGTGACGAAAGTTTCACGCAATCTTCTGATTAGACCCTCTGCGCCTCCTTCTGCTTTAAAAGCCATTGGCCAATTGGAATATCGGTCGACAATGACAACATAATCTTTACTGTTGTATGTGAAGTAGTCACAGCAGATCATTTGGAAAGGGTAGTCTGGTTGTTTAATATCAGATGGTGGCTGCATCGGGTTTGATTTAGCCATGCGATGACAATGTGCACATTGGTCCCTAACTCTAGCAATGTCAACTGAGATATTGGGCCAAAAAACAGAGTCTGCTGCTCGGGACTGCATAGCACTTATACCCTGGTGAGCTGCATGGAGGGCATTGAGGATTGGTGTGCGTAAGGCCCTTGGGATAACAATTCGTTGACCCATGAGTATCACTCCATCAACAACACACAGGCTTGCTGTGTGACGGTGGTATGGACGTATCTCTATGGGGAGTTCTCTGCAATCTTCTGGAAAGCCTTTCTCAAGGTATTGCATTAGTGTAAGTAATGTTGTATCTGAAGAGGTGGCATCTCGGACCATATCCCAGGTGACAATAATGTTAGCAGCATCCAGTGAGGCAGACGCAGCAGCAATGGTGCAAGCATCATCAGCAAAGTCTGTGTCTGCTGTGTCTTGGTATAGACTAGCCAATGTGACCTGTGGAGGCACAGTCATGTAGGATATGGTGTCACTGTCAGATGGTTCATTTGGTAGATGCATTCTACTTGGCCGACCAGCAGGGTGTCTGGATGCTGCATCTGGGCCGGGATTCTTCTTCCCTGGGACATGAACTATGGTGAATCTGTATGCTAGTGTCTTTTCTTTGAGATTGAGTAGTCGCCTGTTGTGAATTTCGGTGAGTGACCTATCATTTAGCACCTGAACCAGTGGTTTGTGGTCTGTGGCAACAATCAAATCTTTACAGCCCAATACATAGTAGCGAGTCTGATGCAATGCATAGGCCACGGCCAGGGCTTCACCCTCTATGGGTGCATATCTGCTTTCTGCTGGGTGGGTAAACCTGCTTCCTACCAAGCATAACTTCCAGCCATTGTGACAACATGCTGGAGTTTTGGAGGTGCATTGGCAATACTTTTGCATCAGGAAGAATCCAACTCCATCAACAGACCAATCAGTGGACAGACATGTTTGGCGGTTTGGATCAAACAAACGCACTCCTTCTTTCATCTCTTCTATAATGACTTCTTTGGATTGGTGGAACAGGTTGTCCAACTCATCTGTCCATTCAAATTTTGTGGACGGCTTTAGGAGCTTCCTGAATGGCTTCATCTGACGTGCCATTGAGAATGCATAAGCGCCTTGATTAATGAGCCCAAACCAGGCTCGGGCACCACTGATATCTGTAGGTGTTGGGAATTTCCTTATGGCATCTATAAATTTGTCACTTGGTTGTATGTTCGTAGGTGTGATTGCAAGACCAGCAAATTCGACTGCATCTTGGGCGAACTGAAATTTCTTGGGATTCAAGGTGATACCGTTACGTGCACACAGGTCTAACCACTTACATGCCTGAAAGAATGCCTCTTCAACTGAGTTTGCCCACATGCATGTATCATCTACACACTTGACTTTATTAGGGAAGTCTGTGATTATGGCATCAAATCTCTGGTTGTAGGCATCTCCACTGGCTAAAAACCCCTGAGGTGCTACCTTGTATCTGTAACGGCCCCATGGTGTGATGAATGTTGTGATATGCCGGTCCTCCTCCCTAATAGGCACAGAGTGGTACCCATTCCAGGCATCCGTCACGGTTTTTTTTACACCCTGTGGGATGCGGTTTGCTAAGTGAAAGGGGGTAGGCACATGGTGTGTTTGGCGGACAGAGTGGCGGTTCAGTTGCTGTAAGTCTACTGTTCGCCTAGGAGTGCCATCGGCTTTTCCCGTTACTACCATGCGGGAACACCATGTTGTTGGGGTATTTGGGCTGACTCGTTCAAGGACCCCTATTCGGACATCCCTTTCAAGATCAGCAAAGACCCTCTCTTGCCAGTGAATTGGAACAAGTGCTGGCTTATGGACTGCGACCGGTTTGGCATCTGGATCCACATGAAGTTGGAGCGGCTCACACTTCATCAGGGGTAATGGCTGGTGTTCACACGTATTAAATGTTGTTGCTCCATAATAGTCGAGGAGCCAATCTTTAAGCACTTCAACATTTTCTTCCAAAGCCTTTAAGCCAGGGGGAAG